TACAGGCTGCCTCCGGACATTAAAGGCTTAGAGGCTTAGAGGCTTACAGGCTGCATCCAGACATAAGAGGCTTAGAGGCTTAGAGGCTTACAGGCTGCCTCCAGACATTAGAGGCTTAGAGGCTTAGAGGCTTACAGGCTGCCTCCAGACATTAGAGGCTTAGAGGCTTAGAGGCTGGCGACGAACTGGAACCCCCCCTCCCGCTACGATGTAGTATTAGTAGTATTAGTAGTATTAGTAGTAGTAGAAGAGGAAGAAGTAGCAGTAGTAGCAGTAGTAGCAGAAGCAGTAGCAGCAGCAGTAGTGATAGTGGTAGTAGTAGCAGTAGTAGTAGTAGTAGTAGCAGTAGTATTAGCAGTAGTATTAGCAGCAGTAGTAGTAGCAGTAGTAAAAAGTGCCACATTGGAAAAACATATTTGCGAGGTGGATGAGGAAAGATCAGGCAATGTTGATATAGTTGTTGAACTAATTCATTGCTTAATTGATTGCAGTCTGAAGCACGCATATAAAAAAGTCATCGCGGCTGGCTGGGGTTTACTAATTGGGGGGGGCGTCCTTTTATTTGTGGGGGGGACACCGCTCAAGGGGGGTAGCCTTTCTGAGCTCCCAGAAACAGCATTTTTTAATTAGATTTTAATTAGAAATCGATCATTTGGGGGATGTGTTTTATTTTCCAGTTTTGGCGTCTTGAAACTGGCACATTGCAAAAGTATTTTATACTTGCGAGGTGGATGAGGAAAGATCAGGCAATGTTGATATAGTTGTTGAACTAATTCATTGCTTAATTGATTGCACTCTGAAGCACGCATATAAAAAACTCATCGCGGCTGGCTGGGGTTTACTAATTGGGGGGGGCGTCCTTTTATTTGTGGGGGGGACACCGCTCAAGGGGGGTAGCCTTTCTGAGCTCCCAAAAACAGCATTTTCTAATTAAATTTTAATTAGAAATCGATCATTTCGGGGATGCGTTTTTTTTTCCAGTTTTGGCGTCTTGAAATTGCCACATTGCAAAAGTATATTATACTTGCGAGGTGGATGAGGAAAGATCAGGCAATGTTGATGTAGTTGTTGAATCAATTCATTGCTTAGTTGATTGCAATCTGAAGCATGCATACAAAAGAACTTATCGCGGCTGGCTGGGGTTTACTAATTGGGGGGGGCGTCCTTTTATTTGTGGGGGGGACACCGCTCAAGGAGGGTAGCCTTTCTGAGCTCCCAAAAACAACATTTTTTAATTAGATGTTAATTAGAAATCGATCATTTGGGGGATGCGTTTTTTTTCCAGTTTTGGCGTCTTGAAATTGCCACATTGCAAAAGTATATTATACTTGCGAGGTGGATGAGGAAAGATCAAGAAATGTTGATGTAGTTGTTGAATCAATCCATTGCTTAGTTGATTGCAATCTGAAGCACGCATACAAAAGAACTTATCGCGGCTGGCTGGGGTTTACTAATTGGGGGGGGCGTCCTTTTATTTGTGGGGGGGACACCGCTCAAGGGGGGTAGCCTTTCTGAGCTCCCAAAAACAGCATTTTTTATTTAAATTTTAATTAGAAATCGATCATTTGGGGGATGCGCTTTTTTTTTTCCAGTTTTGGCGTCTTGAAAGCCACATTGCAAAAACATATTTGCGAGGTGGATGAGGAAAGATCAGGCAATGTTGATGTAGTTGTTGAATCAATTCATTGCTTAATTGATTGCAGTCTGAAGCATGCATATAAAAAATTCATCGCGGCTGGCTGGGGTTTACTAATTGGGGGGGGCGTCCTTTTATTTGTGGGGGGGACACCGCTCAAGGGGGGTAGCCTTTCTGAGCTCCCAAAAACAGCATTTTTTAATTAAATTATAATTAGAAATCGATCATTTGGGGGATGTGTTTTTTTTTCCAGTTTTGGCGTCTTGAAACTGCCACATTGCAAACGTATATTATACTTGCGAGGTGGATGAGGAAAGATCAGGCAATGTTGATGTAGTTGTTGAATAATTAATTGCCCAATTGATGGCAACTTCACAAAAAACATCTGAAACCAGTCTGTTTGGCAATAGTGCGGCTCGACCTACTGAAAGCACAGCTCTTGCAATGAAAGAGAGTCACCTCTTCCCAACATGATGAGCCAACCCACAAGAAACTTCTGAAACCAGTGTGTTTGGCAATAGCGCGGCTTCGACCTAATGAAAGCACAGCTCTTGCAATGAAAGAGAGTCACCTGTTCCCAACGTGATGAGCCAACGCACAAAAAACCTCTGAAACCAGTGTGTTTGGCATTAGCGCGGCTTCGACCTAATGAAAGCACAGCTCTTGCAATGAAAGAGAGTCACCTCTTCCCAACATGATGAGCCAACCCACAAAAAACCTCTGAAACCAGTGTGCTGGCAATAGTGCGTCTTCGACGTACGGAAAGCACAACTCTTGCAATGAAAGAAAGCCACTGGAAGTAATTAGAGGCAATGTCCAGAAGCAGGCAAAGGTAGCTAACATAACAGCAAGACATTGGCAGAGAAAGAGGCACAACACACAAGCATTCAAGCCAGCTGTGTGCCACCCCCGGGCTGCAAGACGCACCCTCCGGGAATCTAAGCCGCTGTGTGCCACCCCCGGGCTGCAAGACGCACCCTCCGGGAATCGAACCTGGGTCCATCGGCCCAAAGCCTATTCAATACCACTATGCCACGGGGGCTTGCCCTAAATGGCAGAAAATGGCTTTATAGAACCACTGACTGGGCCTGGAAGGGGTTTGCCGGAATCAAAAACACAATGCGCAACACCCCCCTAACCCCCCAACCAAACCCGCAGCCAAACCCCCAAACAACCCCCCCAATTAATAAAACCCCCCAAATAACCCTCCCCAACCCTTTGGTAGTCGCCTCCAGCTCACGAAAGGCTCTTGCAACGATAAAAAGTCAACTTTTCCCATCATCATGAGCCAAAAAACCTCTGAAACCAGTGTGTTTGGCACCAGCGCGGCTTCGACCTAATGAAAGCACAGCTCTTGCAATGAAAGAGAGTCACCTCTTCCCAACATGATGAGCCAACCCACAAAAAACCTCTGAAACCAGTGTGTTTGGCAATAGCGCGGCTTCGGCCTAATGAAAGGACAGCTCTTGCAATGAAAGAGAGTCACCTCTTCCCAACGTGATGAGCCAACCCACAAAAAACCTCTGAAACCAGTGTGTTTGGCAATAGTGCGGCTTCGACCCCCTGAAAGCACAGCCCTTGCACTGATAGAGGGTGCCTTCAAGATGCCCTCTTTTTTTTTGGTTGTGGCTTGTCCGGATCCACTTGTATATGTGCATATCAAATTACGTCGTCGTCGTCGTAGTAGTAGTAGTAGCCGTAGTAGCAGTAGCAGCAGTAGCAGTAGCAGTAGCAGTAGCAGTAGTAGTAGTAGTAGTAGTAGCAGTAGTAACAGCAGTAGAAGCAGCAGCAGCAGCAGGAGGAGTAGTAGTAGTAGTAGCAGCAGTAGTAAAAAAAGTGCCACGTTGCAAGAGCATACTTGCGAGGTGGATGAGGAAAGATCAGATTCCTATGAGAAAAGATAAGCAAACCTATGGTAAACCATCAGATTCCTATGAGGGAAGATTCGAAAATGAATGATAAACCATGAGATTCCTATGAGAAAAGATGAGAAAACCTATGGTAAACCATCAGATTTCTATGAGAAAAGATCAGAAAACCTCTGGTTAACCATCAAAATCCTTTGAGGGAAGATGAGGAAACCACGTAGAAACCATCAAATTCCTATGAGAAAAGATAAGAAAACCTAGGGCAAACCATAAAATTCCAATGAGACATGATCAGAAAACCTCTGGTAAACCATCAAATTCCTATGAGGGAAGATGAGGAAACCACGTAGAAACCATCAAATTCCTATGAGGAAACATTCGAAAATGAATGGTAAACCATAAAATTCCAATGAGACATGATCAGAAAACCTTTGGTAAACCATCAAATTCCTTTGAGGGAAGATGAGGAAACCACGTAGAAACCATCAAATTCCTATGAGGGAAGATTCGAAAATGAATGGTAAACCATGAGATTCTTATGAGAAAAGATAAGAAAACCTAGGGCAAACCATAAAATTCCAATGAGACATGATCAGAAAACCTCTGGTAAACCATCAAATTCCTTTGAGGGAAGATGAGGAAACCACATAGAAACAGTCAAATTCCTATGAGGGAAGATTCGAAAATGAATGGTAAACCATCAGATTCCAGTGAGAAAAGATAAGAATACCTATGGTAAACCAAAATAGGAAGTAACCCTGGAAATTGTAATCCGAATTAAAAAAAAGGAGTAATAGCAAATTAGTCCCACCAAAAAAATGGGGATCCCAGAGGGGCTTCGCTAATTAGGGGGTACATATCTATTATTAGGGGGGGAAATCAGCACGTAGAGGACTTTAGTATTGCCCCAAATTTTCGGAGGGACGGGGATTCGCTAATTCGGGGGGTTTATTAATCCTGACTATACATTACTTGTATCATCGTGTATCTATATAATTTGATATTGTATAGTAATACCATGTAATACCATGTAATACCATGTAATACCATGTAATACCATGTAATACCATGTAATACCTTGTAATACCATGTAATACCATGTAATACCATGTAATACCATGTAATACCTTTACTAATAGGATTTATTCCTTTGTGCTCCAGACTTCCCCCCGAGGCAGCTCCGGCCCCAGCAACAAGAAAGTTTTCAGCTCCACCAGCTGCCCCAGTGCCCCCAGCCACTTGGAAGCAGGAGATGTGGCAACGTTGCAACTTGTGCTGTGACATGTTATGACATGTTCTGACTATGACATTTTGATACCTCTTGGGCTTGACATAGATAGATTATGAATGAAATTACAATTATTATGACAGATTGTACTATATTGTGCTTTTCTTGTGAAATTCTATTACTCCTATTCCATCCCATTCCTGAGCCTGTAATTCTTCCACGCCCAATTTTGTCCAGTGAAGAAACGCCTGGTGAGCATCCACAGGCTATGCCATCGACCAAGTATGAGAACATTGACTTCTCTAAGTGCCTGTGGCAGTACGGATGTGAGATGGCCAATTTCATTTTGTGGACGTGGTATACTTTTTGCATTTTTTTGCTCCGACTGCGTCATTTTGGATCTTAAGTTGGATTCGACGATTTGACTGTTTTCGAGGTATGGATCAAATGTGCATGAATCTGATGGCCTCCAAGACGCGCACTATGCGAGGAGAAGTGAATTGCCATGAATTGACCCTAAAATCTCTGTTGAAAAGAACGCGAAAGATCGACCCTGTCACATTCCGCAAATCGCATGCTCACACTATCGGAGTCTTCATGAATTCTTCCGTGCTCTTTGCAGTGAGTTTGACCACTTCTCAGATGCAAGGCTCAGTTCTTGATGTTCTTGCAAATGATCAGTTCTTGCAAACGCTCGTGAAACAACCTTGATGAGGTAGCTCTCAAGGGCAATGGATTCAGAATCCTCGAGTATTGCAGTGTGTGAACAACATCCAACTCGGAGCGAAGATGGGCCAGCGGCCTAGCCACAGAATGACCAGTCCCAAACTTATGTGCGGCACATTGGGTCCATGAGGGCTGAGATGTATATTATATGCATAATAATATGGATGTTGGACGACATTCCATGTTGTTAATTATTAGTAGTCCCATTTAGTCCCTATCAGTCCATGATGTTCATGTTCCAGGTGCGACAGTCGGCGGTTGCTTCGGCCTGTTGACTGGAGCATGGGTGGCAGTCACGCAGAGAAATCTCTTGGCGCCTTGTACAGATCAGAGAAAGCTTTGCACAGAACCAAGCTCTGCACAGCATTGCCCAGCTTTGCCACCGCTACCTTGAGTATTTGTGACATTTTGTGACTACCATAGAGTGCTTTGTCCGTCTCCTTAGGTATTGCCTGTCTCTGTGGTTGGCGGTGCTATCAGTTTTGGCTTCTTCCTCGGATGTGGGATGATTATCAGGCGCTTCGACAGTACTGCTAGCCCGGTGCCAATTGTTTTTTAATCTCGAAAGATCCCAATGCCCAAACCATCCCAAACCAGTTTATATATGTTTATATGTTTTTATTCACCTGGATTTGCCTTACATGTGAATTGTTATTATTAGGCCTTGATTTTTTTTGTGTGTGTATCAAGTGACTATGCAATGACGGGAAGATCCAGCACTTGCCATAGACATGAAATGAACTTGACATACCATTAATGCATTAATGTGATGCGAATGTCAGGTGTGAAGAGAAATCCGACCGTGCCAGCTCTCTCGAATTGGATACAAAGCTTGATGCCAAAGCCGCAGTGCCTAGGGCACAAAATGTTGCACAGAAAAAAACGACTGCAGACCTTTCTTGCTACTTCATGTTCCTTCTGGCGACGTAGGGCTTTGTAAAACGAACTCCCGAAACGGTGTCAGATCCCATATGGATTTGCTGTACTTTGATTTTTCATGTTTCTTTGTTTTTGCAAAAAACCAGCCATGGCTTTGTGTGCAGATGCTTGCAACCTCAGTTGAGAAAATTGAGGTGCCCAGCCAGCCGAGACCGCAGCTTTCATTCAGACCCAACGTGGGGAACCTGGGAACATTTGGGAACATCTGTGAACATCTGGGAACCTGGGTCCAGAGTTGCCACGGATGAGTGGATCTACTGTGGAATGTGCAGAAGAAGTGAGGAGGAGGAAACCAAAGAAATCAGTTCAGACAAGATCAATCAAAATCATACATACTGACAGTTACTGTGTTCCTCACTGCCATGGCATTGCTGCCCCTCTGTTTCTCATTGCTTTTCGGGGGTTGATGCCGAAGAACGTGAGGCCCAGATTGCAAGGCTATTGCAGCCACCTGAAGCTGAATGATGCTGTTTTGTTTTCAAGACCTCATGTGAAACTCGAAGCAAATTCACAAATGCCCGCCGTCCTCGTATATGTAAGTATGGTCCAGACTAGTGCACAAAGGAGGCAAAAGTACAGGCGCAGAGAGGATCCACTTGAGCAATCCAACAACCTCGGATATATTTGGTATTGGAACTGGACAAAGATATAAAGATGTGAGCATTCTCGACACTACAGACTCGAGCCTCAGCTGTTCGCTGCCGTACAGAAGCTTAGGGCTTGTGGACATTTGGCGCGAGCACCGCTTTTGAAGGTGCCTCGACACGTTTCAAATTCCCACACTTCGTCATGATTTGTAGACTATATGATATGATATGTCGTGACCAGTCAGAGCATGCTACAAATCTGGACCTGCTAATTTTGTAGTACAAGGCACGCAGTATGCTCTTAGAATGGTATCCTGAAGCCTCTTCACAAGCTTGTTTGTGAACCTGGAATAAATTTGAAATTTATATAGATATCTCCGATCCAGTTCCAGCACTCAGCAGTTCTTTGCTGTGGCTGGATGTGAAAGTTGCATCAATGTGCTTTCTCGATTGCGACTTCTGTTGCGCTGGCAAGTGCTAGATATGTTATGCAGCAGGACAAAATAGAATGCAGTGCAGATCCACAATTGACTTCGCTGTCATGGCATGTTACTCAATGTTTCTGCCATTCAACATGTATTACCGTCTTTTTGGAAGAGTCCAGCTCCTACATGTTTGGGTGTAGCAGGAATTCTTGCACTCATACTATCTGATACTGTATATATATATATATATATAGTATATATTATAATATATCACTGTCTGTGGCAATCTTGATAATCTAGGGCTGCAGAATCAGGTGCATAGACACAGCCATAAACAGTAGCAGCATTTTTCATACAGTTTCCATTGTCACAGTGTTTTCCATGGCCAATGAAATTCATGATATACATTTGCAAAACGACTTCCACTGACTTCTTTCGGAATAAATATACAAGTAAGGTGGATTTCTATGTATTGGTATAAGTGTACAGTGTACAGTGATTTGCAAGTGACACATTCCTGGCTGATCATCACTACATCCGATGACGAATTCAGCCATGACTGATTCAGCGGATAAAAAGAAGCCAGGGACTCAAAGAATGAACCTTCGATGCGGTCCCAGAGTCCTGTGCATGTGCAGCATTTGTTACACCGCAGTCTTATGCATGTTTGGCAAAATAACTGGCATGGACATTGCCAGTTGTAGACTCTAAGTTGCTTCTTATCCACTGCTAAGTTCCTAGGGCCTCCATCTGGTGGAAAAGTTGCAGGGTATGAGTCAAGTAAAAAAGAGTCCCGGGTGAAACTTGAAGTTTGTGGCGCCCACGCATCCAAATTTCTTGTGAATTGCTCCTGTCAGGATTTGCTACTATGAGTTGCTGGGCAATGAACTCAGAAGAGCCACAGGGAAGCAGTTCAGAAGACTGCCAAAAATTCTCGCAAAAATTCTCGCAACTTGTGACAGAGTTTTATGTTTTTGACATTCCAAGGTGTGGACAGAAAGTGTGATGCTGGAGAGATCAAAGCTACATACAGAAAGTTGCTCGGCTTGAAAGTTTGAAAGAGTCAGTTAAACGAGTCATGAATACTCCCGGACCAAGGGTCTGGATATGGTCTGGATATTTTTGTCCATTTGTCTCAGGAACCTCCAGCTTTGAACAATTTTATCTGGGCCTACCTCCACATCAATTGAGTTTCCAGATGGTCCCTGCATTTCCGTTTCACGCTTTGCCTATGCAAAGTGCTGCTTCTACTACGCATGGGTTGTCCTTCGTTGAACTCAGGCTTGCTCTGCGCATGCACCCGGACAAAGCCCATCAGAATGGAATGTGCCAGATGCTCTGAGTTTATCTTCTCGGTTAATGGGCTTGTGATCTGAGTCCATTTTTGAATCACTCTCCATTAGGCAATTTGCATCAATTTGCTGTGATTCTTTCAGGTCCGGAGGAAGCAACTAAGAGATTTCAGCAGATTCAAGAAGCCTATTCCGTGAGCCACTCAGATACTAGTTTCCTGCCGTCAAAGCGTAGCTGTCCACAGTTGGGTTCTTTGATCTCGGATGTCATTTCAGGATGCTCGTTGAATCTCGTTGATCAGCTTAGGTTCTGTCGGATGCGCAGGAGTGACACGCAAAACGTCGCTAAACATCATGGAAGATATGGAAGATATTGGAAGATCGTAAATGTATTGCATTGTATTTGTATTTTGCAGTGTTTTGCACAAATTAAACAGATCAATGAGGGCAGAGCCAGAGTAGAGTTAGAGTTCTGAAGCTCGGGCAGGAGAGAGCCTGGTATGACGCTCACCGAGAACAGATCCTGAGGGGCGATGATGGGCCCGGCGAGGCACCTTCACGATCTTCGCGAAGTCCTTGCACAACTTGTCGTTGCTCGTCGTTTCGTCGTTGCTCGTCGTTCGAGTCCTTGCCCTCGAGCAGATCTGTGCTTTGTCCGCTTTGTTTGTTTTGTTTGCTTTCCGAGAAGGACCCTTTCAAGACGAAGATCAATCTCTACAAGTATTTCAGTGCCTGTCCGAGAGCATTGGGTCAGCAGTTGCGTGCGACATTGACACTGTGACACTGGGTTTTTGAAGAAGCAAGGGTAGCAACAGGCACTAACAATTCTAATTACACTGCGTATACAGTGACTAATTACAGGAAATGACATGATGCTGGCCAATGTGCAATCCAAATTTTGCGTCAAAGTATATATTTTGAGTTCAGCGCTCAGAAGGGTTGCTTTGACCAAGGTGTCTCCTGCTTTGAAGGATTTGGTGATGACTCTCAAGGTTTTTTCGCAGTATACCGCGAGTTGTTTGAGGCAGACAACTGAAATTGGCTGTCCCAGATGAAAGTTCCGGATGTAGCACATTGTGAGAGGCAATTGATGCAGAGGAGGAACAGTGGGAGGCCAGTCCACCTGCCAACTGTGGTATTGCAGCCTTTTTGAATTTACTCGCACCGCGTTCACAAGTGCACTTTAAGATGGGGCCAATAGAATTGGAAGTTCCCCTTTGACTATTGTACGTTGCATTTGAACATTGTGAATGCGTTCAGAAGTAATGTATGAAGGTACAGGAGAAAAACAAACTTAGTGGCAGTTGCAACTCGCACAAGATTGCCGAGCATGGACATAGCATGGACTAGTGTTCGATTTTTTTCAAAGACTGGACTTATTTTGCAATTTGCCAGGATGCTGATGAAGAGCATGTTGCGATGCCTCCTTTTGGACGATCAGATGCAGAGTGGGCGGACGTCGCTGCATTCTACAGGTGCTCCGGTACTTCTGTGATCTTCTGTGATAGTAATAGGATATTATAGGATATTCAAATATATTCAAGGCGTTTCAAGGCGTTTATTGTTTCGATCTTTGCCAGGAACTGGCTCGAGTTCTGCTCAAGAAAGGCATGGACATTCAAAGCCTTTTGATATGATTCTTTGCCAATTTATTGCAGTCCTTGTCTTCCTCAAGATTTTGCAAGGCTTTTGGCCACGCAGACCAGCGTGGGTCTTTGGATGTCTTTGGTATGCGGAGAGTGTCCAAACCTGTCCAGACTTACAGCAGAAGAAGATGGCCCAGAGAGCGAACGTTTTGAATACAATTGTACAATATCGGATAACATTGGTATACGTATTATAAAGCTCACTGATTTGAATATTATTTGTATTGAACTGTTTTATCTGTGACAAGGTGGAACCCGAAAGAGGCCCAGAACCGCCAAGTTCGGAGAGCAATGGAGCAGGCAGATTTCTTATGAGACAGAACTCCAAACGATAATTTCCGCGATACCAGGGTGACGCACGGAGATATCCGGGTGTGCCATGTTTAACGTGGTTGATGCTTTGATCAGGAAAACAAGAAGGCAAGACAGGCGCACGTTTTGCTTTTTTTTTGTCTGCAGACTGCTCTGAATATTTTGCCACGCCTGTGTGAAAGGCAGCGAAAAAGGAATTCAATGCAGAAGTCCGGCAACTCGTGAAGTCCCATCCCTACTTTCTGAACGTTCTGATGTCCGGCAGATAGCATAACTGAGCAGCAAGATGATTCTAAATTATGCGATGTCTCCCCCAGATTTCCACTGAGCCGACCATCGATATTGTGAATGAAAAGACAGTTGTTACTTTCAGGTTTGTTCAGAAACGAGACCCTAGAGTGCTTGCACACCAGAAGCAGCAGATGAAGGAGCATAAATAGATGTGCAGAGACAGCATGTGAGAGAGCAAGAGTATCATTTGCACATACATTACATCACATTATCATCACATTTGACATACTACTGTATTTGGATGTACTTGGACCCTTTTGCCCTTCTCTAGAAGTATCTAATGCGGGCAAGCAGGTGGGCAGGAAGTACAATAAGTCCAGTAGGATTTCCGAGATGTTACTTGAGATCTTGAGACTGTGGAAGTAATTCTACATTTGAAGGAGAACATCGAAAAGAATCAAAGAGACCGTGCACAAAAAGACAAGCAGAAGGCTGATCAGGACTGAGGGCAAGATCTGCAACGATTATCAGAGCGGTTTTGCTGGGTGCTGAAGGACGTTTTGTTCTGCCTTCATAGAAGTTCAATGAAAGCTGCAGACAATTTGCTCAGCCATGCTAGTGAAACACAACACTACATGGCTATGAGAGAGGAGACTCGCCTCAGTTGCCAGAGTTTTGTTATCATTGAAATGTATAGGAGAAACATCCGATGCCTTGGTCATTCATAGTTCTCATCCCATCAATCCCATCTCAGATCTCCTGTGGCGTTGCATTCCACTGGATACTCATCAGGTAAAGGAGCGAGAAGAGCGAAAAGCTGCTGCCAGACAAGCAGAGGAGGCAGCCCTGGATAGCGACTGTAGGAAATCAGGGCAATCAAGTCCGACAAGAAGGTTTTGAATGTACCAGCTGCTACCAGCTCATCTATTGGCCAGTACACACCATCTACTGTATATTAATGTATATTATATATATATTACATTATATCATACTGTATTATATTAATATATATTGTATAAATAATATAATAAAATATAATATATAATATAATATATAATATATAATATGATATGTTAGATGAGGTTAGATTGCTTTTCTGTCGTACAAGCCGAATCTAGGCACTGATTCCCTGTGATGATAGGACACCTGATAGTTTATGGAGAAATGTGAAGCATCAAGCATACGGACTGGACATGTTTAGAATACAGTATGTATGTTGGGTTGTTGTGTTGGGTTGTTGCATTCTCTATTGCTTTACTTGTAACAAGTAGTGAGGACCAATGACAAAACGGGATGCCTTTGGCGTTGAAACACTGCATTTGCTGATGATGTCCAATGCATGAGAGTCTGGCAACACTTGGAGAAGTCGTGCAAGTTCAATCCAGTGAACACTTACACATGAAATGTTGTTGGCACATCAATCTTTGTTGTTTTACAACACTTTTTACATCATTGTTCCTGTTTGAGTTCCGCCCAGACACACGACCCAGTCCTGGTCGTAGTACCCTAGTAGATCCTGGTCGTCCATGGAAACTCTGCATGGTGACTTCCACTGACTGTTTCTTGTCCCACAGTCAATGAAAATTATGTTCTCCAGGTCATTAGTTCAAAACATAGCAAAATGATGGTAATTTCAGGCCAAGTAAATGGACAAGTCCATGGAAAATGATCAAACAATAAGTTGAGGAGGCATATCAAAAGGTGAGAGGAAGTTGGTCTAAGGACATACTTGTACTGTAGAACTGTGGAAATAATTGTACTGAATGAGCAACGGAAGAACACCACTGGTGAAGAGTTGAAAGATCCAGTGTCGAGTGTAAAACCAAGTCTTCAGTGCTTATGGTCCAGAGACTTTTGCATCACTCAGTTGCAGTCACCTAATCATACCTAATCTCAAGCACTGACAGGAGCGCTGGGCTGAAACAAAGGCCAGAAAGGAGGTCCGCTGCCCTTCAGACCTCTGATTGTACTGGCATTGTACTGGCATCCACAAATAGATTAAATAGATGAACTGAAAATCAAGATGAAACGTGGTGCGATGTGCATTTTTTGAGGAGCAGCGAGCACGAGGGGAGATTGTAAGTGAGGAGAGCTGAGTCATCACATGCTGCACATAGTTAGGAACTGAATGACAAGGGGTTTTCGCTTATGCTTTGAGTGTTGCAGGAGGAGGAGGAGGAAAGCGAGGACTTGCCAATCGAATGACAATGTGTTTCCACGTGCCAAGAAAGAAACAGACAAGTTTTCTGAGATTTATCTGCAGTTCTCTTTTGATGGTTCTTGAGTAGAGTGAGTAGAGAAGCTTGACCCAGCCCAGCATTTTTACATATTTTTACCAGGACGAGGAGCAGGCACGTGACCTCACTCTCAGGAAAGCAATTCTTGAATGCAAAGACATCAATGAAAGCAATCCCTTAGTGTGTTGATGTCGATGCAAGATGTTTCTTGAAGTAGGTTGAGTACTACTGCGAGCCATGTCGCAAGAGCTTCAAATCCGAGAAGGCCACATGTTCTTGTGCCCGTTGCAGCTCATTCCAGCTTTCTTCTCCAGAACTGGTGAAAGATGGTGCAATGTTTTCAATTCCTTCCCTTGCATTTCATATGGAGTATCACTTCTTCGCCAAATATTCCAGGCTTTCGACCAGCATGCGAAGAGCAAAAAGCACTTGCAGGTGGGACTGTGTGTCCTTTAAACAATTAACATTAATTAACTATCAATCATTTTAATCATGCAGGAGAATCATAGCAGATCCATAGTGCTCAGGTTGTTGCGAAGCTAAGAAAGGAGTTGGACAAGGAGATGGAGGCACCAGATCACAAAAAAAAAAGAGCAGTGTAAAAGGTGATTTTTAACATTGTTGATTGCTTCATTTTTTCAACATCAAAGCTATAATGGAAATCACAGCAGTCAAAGCACAATTACCTCATTCATTTTTGAAAATTACCTCATATATAATTTTATTTGCAATCCTAACCACTGACAATTTCCAGATTTCCTTGATGCTTGTTTGTTTTTACGTGTCTTGAATAACATTGGGCCCTCATTGAAGAATTACACACATTACAGAAGGCAACTTTGTCACGATAGTTTTGTATTTGTTCCTGTTTCTTCTTTCTATATTCTTCATCTTCTTTATATTTACTCCTTTGTGCTTCATTTACTTTATCTTTATGTTTGTTGTAGTTCCCTCTTTTGTATTCCAAGCATTTCTTACAAGTCTTTAACCCATCTTCAAAATAATCAAAGGGCAAAACATAGAGCAGTATCTACAAAATTTATCCATTACATATAAATACAATTATCTTCTCACATGTCTTTTCCCTTAACTACTATATCAACCATACAAAAACAACACAGACTACAACAAAGACAAAAACAAAAGCACTCCCGACCTGTAAGAAACCACATACAAAACAAAACAATAGACAACAACAAAGATTATTCTATGAACCTTACCATAGTTCTAATAAAATGTTTCATTAGAATGATGTTAATAGTAATATTCATAAATACTCAATCGCAACTTAATTGTTTGTATTCCAAATAAATCAAACCGCTCTCTATCATCATCTTCAAATCGTTCTCTTACTTCCTTAATGCGTTTCATTTAGGGCGTATTTGGAATTATCTTCTCTAACATTATCAAACCCTCCATATAAAGTGGTGTGTTCGTAATTATTCATCACTTTCATATTCCTTATTGTGTTCTCTTGCCATTATTTCTACTTCATATTCTAAATTTGCTTGCAAGTTGAAATTGTCTTCTACTTGACAGTACATTTCACATAATAATTCCTCTTCTTGTTTCTTTTCTATGTTTTCTCTATTATTAATATTAAATGCCAACCCTTCTCTCATAATGTAGGATTTTACTCTTGTAAAACTGTATGACTTAATCTTTCTATGTTCTCGTTTCATTTCTGTTTTACAATTTCTATATTCATTCTGTTTTCTCTTCAATGCTTCACTATGCAAATTTTCACGTACTCAGGTTCTCCTAATTTAGAAGACGCACTTTTACTCAACACGGCAAATGCTTCACACAATCCATACTAATATACTTAGATATCATTTCTTTCAGTATAAAGATATTCACAGAATAAAATAGATCATTCTTTTAGAAACTACTTGAAGATAAATTAACTAAAGAAGATATATACTATCATATGACGAAAAAAATCATCGACTATTTATTGAGTAATGATTTAGCAGAAATACCAAAACTAGGAAGAAGAGAACTAAAGTCAATAAAAATAGATGATAAGAAATTCAGATACAACAAAAACAAACCCATATCCAATGTTTTAACAAAGAACTTATTAACAGTAAAGAAAGCCAATGAATACAGAAGCCATGCGTTAAGCAATGCAAAAGATGCGTTCAGTCAAGGAAGAGTGAGACAATTGCTAACCAAACACGCAATCAGAAACAAATTTAGGGTCGGCACCCGGGTCAGAGATATTCAATCAGCATTTAGGAGATATGCTAATTCAATCGTTTTGGAAAATAGACACTTTGAAGGAGAAAGAGGACTGGAAATGATTGCGCACCAAAAACGAAGACTATGAGAGTTTTTAAGAAAGAATAGAAGCATGAAACTAAACATAAGAACAGACGCACTCTTTGAAAAGCCTGAATATGATGATGGAGGAAATGAAATTGGCAGTCAGGAACTTGTATATGCTTTACCTTCAACCCGCTTCAATATCAGTACTGAGGATGAACTGACACAAGCATTAGAAGACAGTTTTAAACAAATCTTATTACAAATACAAAATTTAGAAGCATCAGCATCTAATTTACGCTTCAAACAGATTTTATCAATAACCATTCATTATGATAAATATATGACCCAACAAGAGCAGGGAGATATATAGAATTACCAGAATGGATTAATTAAAGAAAGCATGTATCAACATCAAAAACAAAGACCAAAAAGTATTGTATTCAATCTGTAGTCTATGACAAAATAAGCAAACATCATCCAGAGGAAATGTTCCACTACAATAAACTGAATGATGACATTTTGAAATGGGATTGTGTAAATGTTCCAACTGGCAATAGGGACATAGACAGATTTGAAGAGAACAATAAATCAGTTTCAATCAATGTTTTTGAACCTGATGACTGTTTGAATGATAATAAGATTATCTTACATAGAGGCACTAAAAAACAGAAATTCTAAATATGAAATTGACTTATTAAAAGACTATGATGAAGATAATAACTATAACTATGTATTATCAAAAAACAAATGTAGATTGTTATACCAATAAGAAGTTTTACTGCCACCACGGCACAATGTTATTCAAGACACGTAAAAACAAATAAACATAAAGGACATCTGGAAATTGTCAGTGGTTAGGATTGTATTATAAAAATGAATTAGGTAATGTCCTTTGTCCTTTGACTGTTATGTTTTTGAAAAATGGATGAGCAGTAATTTTGAAAAAATGAATGAGGTAATTGTGCTTTGACTGCTATGATGCTTAAAAATGCATGGGGTAATTATGCTTTGACTGCTGTGATTTCCATTATAGTTTTGATATTGTTGAAAAAATGAAGCAATCAACAATGTTAAAAATCACTTTTTACACTGCTATGTTTTTTTTGATTTATTTTTAAGTTGTTATACTGCTATAATATGAATTTAAACAACTTCTTTCAACCATTTTTTTAACATTCATTTTTTTGGGGTGATGGAAGGCAGAAGCCAAAAAGGAAAAAGTGGAAGAAAGTGACGAAGAAGATGAAGAAGAAGGCATCATGCAATCGCATGCAATCGCATGCAATCGCTTCAAGTGCAGCGTAGTTTTGCAGAGATTGCAGAGTATTTCATAGAAACTACTCATTTTTGAGTGCATAAGTCACAGCCCAGGACCTGTGAAACCAGAGACACTTCATCCAAAGCATGAAAAATCTGCAGCCAAAGCGCCAGAGCCAGAGATTGAAGAGATCGAAGTGCAAAAAGATGGGCAAGTGCAGGAGCTTCGGTGGCTTCCATCTGCCTACCTTGCCTTTTCTTTGGTCCTTTGTATTGGTATGTATTGGTTATGTCACGTGATGTTGATGTTATATATCTTACATGTTATGGCTGTTATGGTTTGTTCATGTTTGTGTTTGTGTCTAAGTGGGCCAGTAGACAGAGATGATATCAACGCTACAGCGGTGGACGCATGTTTTACTGTTGTGCGAGAAGGGGCTATGACTAAGACTCTCCTCGCTTTTTTCTGATTATGGTAATTTTGATGACAAAATATGCTTGAACAACTAGTGGTCATTCAATGTGGAACTGCCACAGACCCTCATCGTGATCATACCAAGCAGCAACGCATTCAGCTTCCCTGATCCGTAATCTGTTCGATTCTGTTCGCGTATTTCGCTCTAAACTGTTTCGTGCACCGGGTCAGTTGCCCACCAAAGAAATCCAAAGAATGTAAAGACTGGAAAGGTATGTAAAAGTGACTGTAAAAGTGTGTGAGCACATGCACATAGACATCACATTGGGCGTGGTGGTGACTTTTAGATTTCTGTATGTCATCTCGTTTGCATATGCCTTTGTGATTCTTTGTGCAATTTCGATCCCATACGCCGTTGAGGACGATGAATCAAAAAGTGAAAGTCAAAGCGATGAGGACTGACTTGGACTGACGTACTTTTGAAATCTTTTCAGTGCTATTTCATGCGATTTCTGCCGTGGAGTTGGTGGGGTTCGTCGAGGATGATTTTCTCGCTCGTTTTGCCGCCCGGAAAAGCAATGCCGGACAAGGCTTGGGTTTTGGACGTATCTTGACATATCTTGACAATACATGATTCTCGACTGAGTCTTCAAATTGCGGGCTTTTGAGCAGGCTATCCTGCACGCGCTGATCCTCCACCTGTTGAGGCCTTGTGATGATGCTGTTCTGGCCGTTTTTGAATGCTTTTGAACTTTTGATGGATTCGTGCTGACACGAGGAAGATTCAGACGGAGAGGAAGAAGCAACGGATGACATTCGGGGTCGCAGGCATGGATGTTTAAGGATGTTTAAGGTAAGAATGACGTGCCAACAGCTACAGGTAGAAACAAAAGACGTGTTTTGGGACTTAGGACTTGCAGATTTGTCTGGAACTGCTTAGATTGGAAGAAATAGCTTGCACCATGACTCATGATATTTTTTGTCAGAAAATTCAACAGGCTGTGACATTTTGCTGAAGCGCCGGGTTTTTCCAAGTTTCAAGTTGGCAAGTGCCAGTGTGGTAGGGCCCAGAAGAGGGAGCAACAGATGGCTGCAGCCTTGCAGCGCAGACAGGAGCGCAGCACTGCGTCCCAAGAAGTTTGGTGCCCACCAGATTTGACCAATTTTGACCATTTGGGATCAAATTTGGCCAACCCGGCCTGAAAGAAAATTACATCGTCATTGAATTTGGACCTTTAGAAGTTCTTCTTCCGTTCGGCTTCATTGGCTTTACCAATGTGCGTTTTCAAAGCTTTGAGCTTGAGCCATCAAGGAGAGAGAAAATGTACAAGAACTTGCCGGGACGCTTAGGAAGAATCAACATAGAAAGGGTTGGTTTTTTTTTTTCTGTGAATACACGTTTGAAGATTTTCAACGCTTTGGATCAGCCGAGCTCTCCTTTGATCATATTCTGATTATGGAAACTTAAGTGAGAGGAGTCAATGGCAGCTGCTTGATGCAAGAGAGGTGAGTTTTTGCCAACAAGCTGCACGGCTCAATGTAGCCCTGGTGAGCTGCGCGAAGATTTTGCCTCATTTTGCTGCCATGCCGGTAGCAGACATCGAATATCGGGAATACTTCACCCCAGAGAAGATCGCAGATCTCAAAGAGACCTTCGAGAGCTTTGACAGCTCTGGCGATGGGCGCATTGGCGCTGATGAGTTGTATGGCATGTTCAAGAAACTTGGCAAGAATTTGACACGGTCACAGATCCGTGAAGTCATGCGGGAAGTTGATGCAGATGGAAGTGGAGAAATTGAGTTTGAAGAGCTATGCATTTTGGAGATCAAGATGGCTCGTTTGAGGCCGAGGACAGATCTCATTAGCTACACCGATTACTTAGACCCTAAGTCGATTCAACAGCTTGAAGACATGTTTGACCGTATGGACACTGAATGTCGTGGTCGAATCTCTATTCTGGACATGAAGAGCCTGTTGGAGGCACAAGGCATACAAGGCGTACAAGGCAAGGTGTCAGAGGATGAGATTGATGAAATTATTTCAGAGGTGGAGCAGGGAGGAGAATTAGAATTCGAAGCTTTTGCAGCCGCTTGGGCAATTGTCAACAAGGCCCGGAAAAGGATCAACTACCGCGAATTCCTGGACAAAGAAGAAGTTGAGGAATTGAAAACTTTATTTGATGATGCTACCCTAGGTTCAGGCTACATGGCTGTGAACGAACTGGATCATCTGTTCCGAAGACTTGGCTTCGCAATGAAGACCAAGCAGCTTCGAGGCCTGCTTCGGGACTTTGACTGCGATGGCTCTGGAGAGATTGATTTTGAAGAGTTTTGCGTGATGATGCTTCGGTTGAAATGCTCTAAGCCTGTGCGGCAAATTTCACCTGAAAACTCTGACTGTCGCACGCTTTGGCTGGAGGAAGACTTCAGTGCAAAAGAGCTCCAGCGATCAGGTTATGGCATCGCTCATATGAAGGCTGCAGGAATCCCAGTCCGACAGATTTTGACGGCTGATGTGACTGCACTGGAACTGCGAAAAAGTGGATTTTCAGCTTCGGAACTGAGAAAGGCAGGGACATTCAGGGATTGTTTGCCGAACTTTCTATTAATGTCCATGATGATGATGATGATGATGATGATGATGATGATGGTGATGATGATGATGGTGATGATGATGATGCTGGTGATGATGATGATGATGATGATGATGATGGTGATGATGATGATGATGGTGATGATGATGATGATGATGAGGATGACGATGACGATGACGATGACGATGACGATGATGACGATGACGATGATGATGATGATGATGGTGATGATGATGATGATGAGGATGACGATGACGATGACGATGATGACGATGACGATGATGATGATGATGATGAGGATGAGGATGACGATGACGATGACGATGACGATGATGACGATGACGATGATGATGATGATGATGAGGATGACGATGACGATGACGATGACGATGATGACGATGACGATGATGATGATGATGATGATGATGATGAGGATGACGATGACGATGACGATGACGATGATGACGATGACGATGATGATGATGATGATGAGGATGACGATGACGATGACGATGACGATGACGATGATGACGATGACGATGATGATGATGATGATGACGATGACGATGACGATGACGATGATGATGATGATGACGATGATGATGATGATGATGACGATGACGATGACGATGATGATGATGATGACGATGACGATGACGATGACGATGACGATGAAGATGATGATGATGATGACGATGACGATGACGATGACGATGATGATGATGATGACGATGAGGATGACGATGATGATGATGATGACGATGACGATGACGATGATGATGATGATGATGATGACGATGACGATGACGATGATGATGATGATGACGATGACGATGACGATGACGATGACGATGACGATGATGATGATGATGACGATGACGACGACGATGACGATGACGATGACGATGATGATGATGATGACGATGACGATGACGATGACGATGATGATGATGATGACGATGACGATGACGATGACGATGATGATGATGATGAGGATGACGATGACGATGACGATGACGATGATGATGATGATGATGACGATGACGATGACGATGATGATGATGATGATGACGATGACGATGACGATGATGATGATGATGAACAATCACATATGTATGTATATATAAATGTTCCATGTCATTCGGTTAATGGTTTTCTCAGATGCACTTCTAAATATCTCCTATTCTGTCCTTAGGCAGTGGAAATCCTTTGTAGAATTGGCCCATGATCATAGGGTTTAAGGACTTTTAAGTGGATGAGTTCTTTTGACCCCTCGCAGCTTTACTCAAACACGGGCAGGCTGGTATGGGGGCGAATGAACTTCGAGCTGCTGGATTCAGTTTGGCCGAACTTCGCTTGGCTGGTTTTTCTCATGCAGTCTTAGCCCAAACGAACAAAGTCTTGCGCTCCTACATTTGCCGAGGCAATTTGTCAATTCTGCCCCAGTTGAATCCCAAGTGCGATCCAAAAAGGATGAAAATCATCCCACCTTTTGTGAAACTGTGGTCTGGCACCTGTGCTGAAGTTCCAAAGCAGATGACTCCAAGAATTCGGGAGCATACTGACTACGTTCCAAGATCGACGCGACCTTACTCTTCTGGTGATTTCGGGACGAAGTCGTGGGAAGTGGATTGTCTCAGTTTGAGACGTCCAATGACAGCAGCCTGACAGCAGTACATTTTCGTAGAATGAGACTTTCATTAGCGACTTGTCTAACCTCCGAGAGTGCGATACCTTGCACAACTACAGGACTCAACTTTATAGTAACATGCGGGCGAGAAAATGGTCACCCCGCGAGTGTACATCTAGGTTTCACTTGGTTTCACCCTGTTTTTTACTCCTGAAACAAGGAGCAAAGTTCCTTGCCAGAGAAATCAGGCAATCTGTATAGCCAAATACGCAGTGTATCCGGATTGGCTTTGCATTCAAAGTTTCACGTCGGTTCACCAGTTACGAAGATTTCACATAGTACAGGATGCTTGGCCGAAGGCTGCAGAAAATGGCTTCACTTTCCTATAGTGCAACGCCTTGAATTGTTTCGAATCGTTTTGATATGTCTTGATGTGTCATAAGATTGTTCCAACATGTTTCAACCAATGGAGCGCTGCAGAAGAGCCAATACAACATTCAGACAGAACGACTTGGAATTGGACTGCCCAAGGTCAACGGTGTCAAAAAGGCACAGCGGGCGAGTAAACAAGAGGCAGCAAGTGCAGTTTCTTGATCGCATTTAGTTCGTAGACACCATGGCAGAGCGAAAAACTCACCACATATCAGAGGCCAAGGAAGCAGATTTGACTGGACCGATTCCAGAGGCCAGAATTCTCAGAATGCTCGTTTGAATTCTTGTCTGAATCTGTGGAACGTAGGCATGGCATTGGCATGGCTGAATATTTCGTAGTCTGCAATTGAATTGCTTCGCAGGGTAACACCTGTGGTGTTTGCAAGGAGGACGGCCCCTGTGTATGTTTTTGATCCCCCTTACCATTTCCACTACTAAAAGGGTGAACACGTGCTTGGTACCATCCTCTGATTCGTGGATAATTCAAGCAAAAAAAATGGACCCGTGCACCAGTTTTTGTAGTAAAAGGGTGTGCACTGTATCTTGTAGCGGCGTTCCATTTTACACTCATAAATCGGAAACGCATTTTGTAGTGATTTATTTTGGGATGCGTTGTGTCGTGCCGGAAACCCTATAGCCCTCTTTTACCAGTCATGCTCGGTCACATGAACATATAGCTTGGACCCTCAGACCATTTTTGGCTCTTGACTCACGATTATTTCGTGGTAAGATGAGCCCCCAAAAATTCGAAAAAAAACAAATAAGGTAGAGACTTTAAGACGGAAAAATGGGACAGACTTGGTTTCAAAACCCATCAATTGAACTTGAAGTTGTGCGCTCAGATCGTTTTTAGCTCTGACGATTGCAGTTCAAAACCTCTGCGCCGTGCTTTTGTCACACCTTTTTTGGCCATCACATGCGATTATTAATTAAAATCTAAATCTATCCCATTCTACTAGGTTCCTGCTCTTTTTGTCCAATAGTCAAGTTTCACCCCAGTTCAACGAATCCATGCTCAGAGTTCCTTTCACCCACAATGTCACAAAGCACAGATTCGATGCGTGATGTCCTAGTTTCTGGATGACTTGTGTCATGCACTGCATTTTGTAGTGACACACGCGTGCACAACCTTTTGTAGAACCTTCTGCGCCCCCCTCCAGATAAGCCCCAAAAAGTTCGAAAAGCATGCTTTTTATGTAGAGACTTTAAGAAGGAAAAATGGGACAGATTTGGTTTCAAAACCAATCAATTGAAACTGAAGTTGTGCGCTCAGATCGTTTTTGCTGCCCCATAGCATTTCCCCTAGTAAATGCTATGACCCATTTAGTAGCGAATCATTATTTTCATTGCAACCCGTTTTCACTACAAAATGGTTCCGTAAAGTCATTTTGTAGTGACCGACATTGGCTTTTGATCCATCATAAAAACACCCAAACCATTTTGTAGCAAGGGGGGTTGGTTCAGATTCAAGCTTCATTTTGTAGTATAAGGCTGTGTTTGTAAACGGTTTAGTGGGCACAACTTCTCTGCAGAATGCACACAGGGATTGTTTTTGTCCATATTCACAATTTGTTGTGCGCCTATGCATATTTATACTTGTAAAGCTGCAAAGCTCCTGTCGAAACAGGACTTCACAAGCAGATCAGCCCTCTTCAAGCACGTTAAGGTCAGGTGAAGCAGCCTCACAACGTCTCCTTAACCTTTGCGAATCTTTACGATCAATCTGCCGCAATCTGCTTTCCGAAAGGCAACTGGCCATGCGATGCTGAAGCCAGCGCCAGAGGAAGCTAAGGGCCGAAGAAAGAAACGATGAGGAAGGATATGAAGGCCGATGATATGTCAGTCAGTACAGCATAGTGCAGCATACTGCATACCCTTTCCGAAGTTATGCAAAGGATCAGACAAAATGTAAACATGCATTGTGAAATATGTTGAAGGGGATGGCCCGGTAAGCCTTCCAAGTACAAGCCCAGTAAGATCAACGAATCATCTGTTGTGATAAGAGATTCTGTGCTGCCACCTGCATGTCCACAAGAGGCTATCATAATGTAATCAGTATTAATTAATTAAACCAGTAATAATTTGGCAGGTAGTGACTGAGTCTTGTCTTTATAAGACACATTCTTGCCCGTCACATGATCCTGTGAAAGAATGACTTTTCATCAGTATTTATATACTAGTACGTCGTCAAATGAATGTATATAATATATATATATATGGATACAATGTCAGGCACACCTGCGTTTTTTTCCCCACACTGTGCGATATCCAGGTGAAGTTAGAAATGACGTCCATGATGTGGGTGGAACAGCTGTGAGCTGTCCAAGAGTCTGAGTGAATGTTCAGTCTTTCACTGAAAGATAACAAAGTTAGCCTGGCTGGGTCCACCAGCTTCCAAGGATATTTCCTAGGAGAATTGTGAAAATGACACGATTCTGTTAATACTGTGGTATGTGATGTGGCTCACCTGTGAAACTGAGCCCACATTCACATGTCCTTTGAACCGGGCCTGACGGCCGATTCTCATGCCAAGAAGTGAAAAGCCTCTCTTAGTTCACAGATTTGGGACACAGATCATATTCTGTAATATTATGTATACTTCTGTATTGGATGCTTTGCAGCAAAGCAATCTGTGTACCTTGAATTTTCCTCACTCTCGCAGACATACAGAGTGACGTGTGCAAAGATGGGGATAAGAAGAACACTAATTAACTTCAAGAACTTTGCAGCCCCCAGAGCAATGCCCAATCAGAAAGGTATGGTCACCCTGAGATTTGCTGGGAGGAAGCGATGCTTGAACGTGAAAAGAAATCAATAAGATAGAAATCAAACACTTTGTCAGAGAGCAGTGGGTCTTATAGGGCCTTGATGCCATGGACATCGAATTGTTTGTAGCTCGGGCTCAGCTTTGATCCTGATATCAGGTGCCCAGATTGGTCTTAAGTTATTCCTAGCTGTGGCATTGAGGATTGCAGAATCTCTTTGTGGAGCGGCTTCAGACTCGAGTTTTCATACACTGCCAGCTTTGCATTGGCATGGATTGTATCAAGAGTTATCAGATAGCAGCAGATAGCATCCATGCTTTGGCACGTTTTTAGTCCATCTTTTTGGACACACCCAAGGATCCAGCGTTGCTGCTGGGAGGTGCATCAGGCGAAATTTTCTGAAATTGAAAATTCAAAGAGTTCGGGCTTGATCTGAGCGGTGTTTAAGACTGTTTAAGTGGCTTCAAAAGGACTCACGATGTTTTTGCTTTTTCCACAAGGATCGGCAGCAGACGTTGGTTTGGCTGGCAGAGCTGTTGCTTGGCTGGCGGATGTGCGTTTGGTTCTTAGCCCAACTGTGAGCATTGGGTCCAAAAGTCGGAATTGTCTCAAACTTGTCATGAATTGTGATTTTAAAATTCCAAGGTTCTGCTCTCTTCCAGACAGCCGGCACAAACAAAAAGAGACAAGGCCGGAAGACGACTGAGATGGCCAGTCACGGCCGGTCAGTTCATGCCTTTAAAGACACTTGTGAAAGCACGACGATGTAGCTATATATTTGGCTATATATAGTATGCTATAGTTGGCCAGGCAGTGGCAGCATTCCCGATCATGCCGAACGGATTGCTCAATTGAGCAAGGCTGGACTCTGACTCCAAGATCTCCAAGATCTCCAGCTGGATGCTGATGGATGCTGATTGACATGTTCTAAATGTTCTAATGTGTTCTCACGATTTCTCATGGGGTGTTTTAATAATTTTTAATATGTATGTTTTAATCATCCAGTTGTGGGTTGATGCGCCGATACCAGTCTTCCAGGCCTTAGACTTGGTGGCTGGTTATGTCAAGGCGAGACTCCGCGAGACTCATCGGACTCAACATGGGTCATCCCTGCCTATTTCCTCTACAAAATGATGTTCTCCAGACCCAGAAATCTCTATCTTTTTTAGAGGCATTTTCCTCTAAACAGTCTAAATCTGGTAGCCAAAAATGAGGGGATATTTGAGAAGGTTTTTTTTTGTATACCATTGTTCTTGAACTTTAAGAAAAAGTGTTTTTTGGCTTAAAAGCTACCTGATGAAAACGCATTTTGTAGTGGGGACAGCTGGTATTGTAGGAAACCATTTCAAGTTTGTAGCGTAGCATGCTGTCATGTTGTGCAAGGGTTTCAACTTCATAGTGGCTTATGTATTTTGTTATTTGTTTTTGCACGGCCTGCTGAGGGCACATTTGGAATCATTTTAGGATTGACTTGAACAGAGGCCGTCTCTCTAAAGTTCAGGGTTTCTCTATAAAGTTCAAATTTCGTAGGAAAAATTAGGTGAAATTTCAAAGCCTTTTTCCCAGGCATGTGTCGGACTGAACCTTTAAACGTGTTTTTTTTGCTTAACCCCTGATTGGGTAGGGTTTTTTGTGTTGTACCCAACTTCAACTTTATAGAGGCTCAATGCCATGAGGGTGCTACACACTTTCGATTTTATAGTAATGGACTGGGAGCCAGTTTGTTTGATTTATATACTAGCTTACTAAGTCAAGTTCAGGCCCTTACTAGGTACCCTGCACAGGGGGATCATGGGTCAACATTTGGAGCAAAGCTTTCATGAATTCAATGTGGAAAACATTGAAAAACAAGATTAGTTTCATTATTCAATATTCAACATATTCAACATTACTTACAGTTTCAATATGTTTCAATATCAATTTGTTGGCTCACCGTGTGCTTTGTTTTTTGCAGTCAATGCTGAAGGCGTCGCAAACTCTCAGCACTGGGGCAGCGGTGAACCTGGCACTCGCGGCACTTCAAGAAGGAAATCGGATGTCAGCAAGCTGGCAGCATCCCTGCTTGGTTAAAGTTACAGTAAGGATGTGTACTGGGGTAGAACAGCTTAGATCCTATTGTATAGAGAGGTATAGAGAGGTTTGGTTTAATTCTCAATGGAGAAGTTTGCAATGG